GATTTCTCTTCAGCTAGAGTCAAGTTGACAAGGGATGAAGATGAACTAGAGAAAGAGACCATTGGCAGAGAGCCTTGTGTAGAGAGGATGTGTCCTGAACTGTAGCACTGGACAGACCTGGTTCTGATGTGAGGGTGGGATGGGCTGTGATGCAGGAGGAGTGAAGTCCATGGTGAGGAGCCGAAGAGGCTCCTGCAGTCATTCAGGGAGTAAAGCGTGGCATAGCCTCCTTTGCCCTGGCAACCAAGAGTTAGGAGGGAGTTGGCCATTCTCTTCAGCCCATTCTTTCAGCATTTTTTACTGTTTACAAATGCTGGAGTATCCAGGGTGCATTTTGTTTTCTTCTAACTTGTTTGATTTTCAAAGAGAAAACTATGAAAGCTTGATGAGCAGCACAGTGTCCCTCTGTGTCGAGGACAGCGCTGACACAGGAGCCTGCGGAAAAGACCGCTCACAAGGGCTGCCACCACATAGCCCCAAAGTGGGTCTCCTAAGCCAGGCACGGCTCCTTCTCCAGTTATCTATGTGACCTTGGGAAGTTATGTCCATCTCTGAGCCACACGTTTGTATTTGTAAAGTGGGATAATGATGCTTATATGTCTTACAAGGTTATTACACAAATTGCTAATAACCAATAGATGAAAAGCCAGAACATAGTCTTGGCACCTGGTAGGTACTGCACAACTCTTAGCTATTGTAGTCACTGTTCAGATCACTTTTATTTAACTTAGTTGTGATGTGACCTGATTACAAAAGGAATCCATATTCTAAAACCAAAATGTGAAAATAGGTATTAAAAATTCACTATAGTTAAAATTCACTTGAAGAGCATCTGATCATGGTTAATTATTAATGATTTGTTTTTCAGATTAAAATTAAAGGGATTTCTTCAAACATATATATATATATATATATATACACACACCAGCCACTCCTCGGAAGGAGTGTTGGACAATCTACTTCCGTAGTGATACTGCCTCGGAAACCCAAGGAGGGGCTGCTATGAGTCAGGGCCGACTCGACGGCACTTAACAACAACAGCAATATATATACATACATTTTACAGTCTGAATATATTCCAGTTAAACCATTGTGCATTTCACATGAGAATGAGATGAAGAACACTTGATTACTTGAGGTGTTGCTTTGTATAATAATTCTGTATAATAATGTACTTACACTTTTTCTAAAACCAAACCCAACCCACTGCCATCGATTTGATTCCAACTCCTTGTGACTCTAGAGGATACAGTAGAACTACCCCATAGGGTTTCCAAGGCTGCTAATCTCTACAGAAGCAGAGTGCCTTCATCATTCTCTCACAGAGCAACTGGTGGGTTTGAACTGCCAACCTTTTGGTTAGCAGCTGAATGCCTTAACCACTGTGCCACTAAAACTCCTATAGACTTTTTCTGTGCATCCTAAATACCAAATCCAGTCTTAATTGGATCCCGAAAAAATGAATGTCCAAATGTCTCAGGGAGCTCATAATAAAACTTATTTTTTGGGAAGAATATTAGAGGATGTGTTTTCCACTTCTTTCCATGCCACTGTTTTGAAGGCTGTTCAAAATCTAACCTTGCTTTTATAAGTATACAATAGGGAGGATAAATGTTTGGAGTAAGGACTGTGGAGGGCTCTATGTTTTGAATACTTTAGATGGCTTATCCATGTTAAATACTGGTGCTCCAAGCATGCCTTTTTGAGAAACTTCTCACTGAAGCAGAGCCTTAGAAAGGAGCTAGTATGTCTTTGAGCAGCTTTGCAAGTTGTGTCATGTGGCTTCTGGAACAGCTGTGAACTATGACAGAAGTGAGCTTCCGGCTTTGGGGTTAAGGTAAACCATGTAAAGAAGGTGATTGGTTAATTAATATGCTTTTACGGTAGGTGCTCTTTGTATATTATTTTTTTAAAAAAATCATGGCTCTGTAGGTAAAGATTTATGTTTCTCAAAGTGTTAGGCATCAATATTTAAATAAAAACCAAATATTTAAATCAAGTTCTTTATCAGTGTGGAGAATGTGTGGCCTTTAGCCTTTGAGGCCGCAGACCAATCACAAAAGCGTATTACACTTTGAATATTGCCCAACCTTCCTTCCGAGGAATGGCTGGTGGGTTTGAAGCGCCAGCCTTCTGATTAGCAGTCAAATGCCACCAGAGCTCCTGAAATGGTTTATAGACATGGACAATCTCCCTAGATGAAATAAACCAACAAATAAAAAATAAAAAACAATTTTTTTGGAGCTAGTTTTACCAAAACCCTGTGGAATACAGTTCTACTCTGACGCACATGGGGTTGCCACGTTGGAATCAACCCAGTGTCGATTGGTTGGTAGTATTATCAGAGTTTCTAAGTAGGATCTTTGAATGGCAATTCCCAAATACAAGGGTAAACAGAGATGTCTAAATTTACAAAGAATGCTCTTCTCCCAGACGTCAGTATTTATATAAATATCAGGAGATGAAAGGGAGAAAGGTCACAAATGCCAAAGTCACAGGAATACTTGCCTTTAAATATTGAGACCCAAAGAGTCTGGTAAACCTTACAAGCTGTTTATGAGATGACCTTGGTCACTGTAAAGGGGACATGTCCTGACAGTATTTGAGCCTTGAGAAAATCCCAGGTTTACCTCAAATGCAATGGAGAGTTAAAAGAGTAACTCTCCTACCTACTTTAGAATTCCTTTCCCAGACAAATGCAAACGGAAAAGAAGACGATAGTAGGAGAAAAACAGTAATAAATTGCCCTAGGCTACTTAGCTTTTCAAATATTTTATATTTAGCCAATCCCTGTGCAGACAGTGATGAAATTATTTCCTTTATCATTTTGGTTCTTATTTCAATTTAACATCATTCTTCATGTCTTTCCAAGTGCATTTTCAGAACTCCATTGTGATAAAATTTACACACACACACACACGTGTGTGTGTGTGTATATATATATATATAAATTTTTTAGGTCTGTTTTTCCTTAAAATTTCATTTCTTCTAATATGACAAAACTGTTACTTGACAGATTTTAATGCTCAAGTCATCAAAATTACAGCCAAATAATCAATTGTGTTCCTCCTGATTTGGGGCAAAATAAATATCAAGTCCATTTTAAGTAAAGAATGAAATTTCCTACTCAAGGAAAGCACTTCTTGGAGAAACCTCATATTTAAAAAAGAAAAGGAAAAAAAAAAGCCAACTTCACCTGCTTATTTATTTTTTTAAATTGTGATTTGGGTGAAAATCACTTCTCATACAGCAGTTCACATACACTTTGTCTCATGACATTGACTACAATTTACTCCAATGCAAGAGCTTCCCTCCCACTTCCTCCCAATAGTTACCTCTTCCCTGGGTCCATCCCTCCATGCACTTCACCTGCTTTTTGATGGGAGGGCACAGCACACAGAAGCTGCCCACAACTGAGAGGATAATTCTTTTAACATGACATTTATTTTTGTCTTTTTAATTTTTATTGTGATTTGAGTGAAAGTTTCCAGAGCAGATTCATTGTCCATATAGCAATTCATACACGTTTTGTTTCATGACGTTGACTGCAATTCCCCATAATGTAACAGCTCTCTTCTCACTTCCTCCCTGTAGTTACTTCTTCCCTGTGTCCTTCTTTCCTATGCATTACCGCCCCCTGAGTATTCCCTGTGAGAATACTACCCTTCTGTTCTCACATGATTGATTGTTATATATAAACAGTGTATCTACCTGATGTAAATGTTCAACCTATATGCCTGTCTATCGAGGACACATCACAACAACAATATTTAACACAACATTTTAAAAAAAAAAAGTGCAACTCACTACAGTGCCTTTCTAAGACTGTTGCCAAAGACTTTTGGGGTCTGTTGGGTCAGTGTGAGCACAAGGCTTCTATTTACTTGAGCATGGACAGACAGATTCATTTGAGGCAGTCCACAAGGTAAAAATAGAAAGTTAAGAATAATTATTACCTGAATCTTGGGCTTCATCCAGCTCTGAGATTCTATAGACACTAAGGAGAAGCCAGCCTCCTTTGTTCTAAATTCCATACCTCACTCATTCTGAAGCCAGAAGAACAAAGACAGGTGGGAAAGTCTGTTCTCCATGTCTCAGGCTTTGCTGGGATTCCCCATCGTCCTTGGGAATCCACCTCAGTACAAGATCTTGTCATCCAAAGAGGAGCCTTAAAAGCCTGCTGCTCTGGAGAGCAAGGGTGGACTTACGGTAAGCAAACCAAACCAAACCACCAAAATATGAAGAGGCAATGAGCAATAAAATAGTAAGGGCACCAAGCACTCCAACCCCTGACTCCGCACTTCTGTCCCTGTGGGCACCTCCAGGAAAAGCCGATTGTCTTTATAAGAGTGACTGTTGCAAGAGGAATAGGGAGGAAGGTACCAGACTCCACCTTCAGGGAAAAGCCTGAAGCATCACCTACACCAACCACGCATCTACCTCCAAGAGGGCGGGAGGATTCCTTGGGCTAGGACGCTCTGCTCCTGGACTTGGATAGACAGACCAGCATTATCCGGAGACTCCCCATTTTCTCCCTTTCCTAAACCCCCTTTGGCTGAACATCTCTTTCTTACACATGCTAATACCTTCCTTCGCTGGGGACGGCCGCCTCCTGTCCACCTGGGCTCTCAGCTCTGTGGATTTTGAAGTTGGAAGTTTCCCTCCCTCTCTCTCCAGATTGAGTGCAGGTTGAGTGGGCAACCTCACTTCCTCTCCTGGACCCTTCCCTGTCCTCCCGGTGAAGTGGGCAGAGGACTGGGACTGCCGGAGGGGCCTCTCCTGCCGTAGGCGTGCGCAGAAGGCTGGGTCCTCAACCAGGAGAGAAGGGCCGAGTCGTCCAGGATTCGAGGCGGCGCCCTTCCGCGGTAGGACACCACACCGAACCCGGCCTGGAGCCGAGCAGGGGCGTGTCCCCGCGCTCACCTGCCATTGGCGGGTGGGCCCGCAGGCCCGCGCGGCGGTGGAGCTATAAGTGCAGGTGGCCGCGGCGCTCCGCGCGGCGCAGGATGGTGGACAGCGTGTACCGGACCCGCTCCTTGGGGGTGGCGGCCGAGGGGCTCCCTGACCAGTACGCGGACGGGGAGGCGGCGCGTGTGTGGCAGCTCTACATCGGGGACACCCGCAGCCGCACAGCCGAATACAAGGCCTGGCTGCTCGGACTGCTGCGCGAGCACGGCTGCCAGCGGGTGCTCGACGTGGCCTGCGGCACCGGGTAAGCCCGGCGTTCTGGTGGCGGACGGGAGGGACCTGCGGGGCCGCGGGGCCGCGAGACCACGGCCGGGCACGTTGGGGCAGCTCCTCCGCCCGCCCGGAACCACTCGGAGGCCGACTGCCAGGGCCGGACGGGTGCCTGTCCGGGCAGAACCGGCATGACGAGGGCACAAGCGAGGCGGACGGCGTAGGGGCTAGACGAGGGGGCGTCCGTGGGTGGGGGTGCGCAGCGGTGGTAAAGCCCCGACCCACCGGCCACTCAAGTTCAATCCAGGCTCTGGCGTTCTTAGCGTGTTGATTGGCCTTGGGCAATGTTAATAGTTAACATTTGTTCAACGTTGGCCTGTTCCAAGGGCTGTGGCCGGAGCTTTTGACACATCAATTTAAAAATCTCACAAAACAGCATGAGATAAGTAGTGACATTCTCATTTGCATTTGGGCACATTAAATCTCAGAGAAGTATAGGTCCACCACGTAGACGAGAGGCAATAGGTATGACTGAGGTAGGTTATCGGTCCGGCACATACTATGCTGCCTTCTGTGCACAAATTACTTAATTTTCCCAAGCCTCAGTTTGCCCATCTCTAAAATGGGGACACCAGCATCTACCTTTCAGGGTTGCACATTCTGGTGGCATAGTGAGTAAGACTGCTAACCACAAGGTCGGTGGTTCAAACCTTACTAGCTGCTTAATGGATGGAAAATGAGGCAATTTCCTTCTGTAAAGATTTATAGCCTTGGAAACTCAGTAGGGGTCACTATGAGTCAGAATCTACTGGATGGCAGTTGGTTGGATCCGAGTAAGTGTTACTGGAAAAAAAAAAAAAAAAGTTGCTACCTGGTTATAAGCAGATTTGGGAGGTCATCTGAAGTCAGCAGAGAAGGCCCAGGAAGAGTAAGCAGAGAAATGGACTCTGACGAGTTAAGGAGGCACAAAGTTGTCCTTGCTCTGCCAGGCCCCCTGACTACCCTTCTTTGCCTCTCATCCCTGGCCCCACCAGGGTGGACTCCATCATGCTGGTGGAAGAGGGCTTCAGTGTGACCAGCGTGGATGCCAGTGACAAGATGCTGAAGTATGCACTTAAAGAGCGCTGGAACCGGCGCCATGAGCCTGCCTTCGACAAGTGGGGTATGCCAGGCCAGCCAAACCCTCCCCAGCCCAGCCACCAGGGACATTGTTCTCTCTGCCCTGAGCTCCTTTCAATATTGGGCGGGTGTTTTCCTCCCTCCCCCATGAGGACAGTAAGATCAGAGGAAATATTACTGTCATTTCCCTGATAAGGGAGGCTTAGGCACTACCAAAGGGATGATGAGGTGTGAAGAGCTTCTTTAACTATGTTTATAGTGTCCTGTCCCTCCCTCCACAAATCAAAATGCATAAGCAGAGTCCTACTTTCCAACTATGGCCTCTTCCTTCCTGACCCCTCTTCCCTCTTCATCCTCCACGTCCATAATGATCTCCTCCCCCAGTAGAATGGAGAGTCCCTATTCTAAAGGGGAAACTGAGGCAGGACTGCACTTGACGAAGGCAGGTCCTAAGGGTACCACGTGAACTGTTACCCTGACCCTTCTTCACGTTTTTGGCTTCCAGTTATCGAAGAAGCTAACTGGATGACTCTAGACAAAGATGTGCCCCAGCCACCAGGAGGTGGCTACGATGCTGTCATTTGCCTTGGAAACAGTTTTGCCCACTTGCCAGACTGCAAAGGTGAGAGAGGATGTGGCCTTGCGCATGGCCCTTGCCCTGAGCTATACCTTTCTATAGACTCTTTGCTTTGCTCCTTTCTGCCTTGGCACCGGCACCTCTGGGGAGGGGAGAAATGGGCAGGAGACAGGTGCTGGAGAGTCCTGAGCAGACGGAGTCTCTGCCCCTGCTTGGAGCTCAGGGGACCAGAGCGAGCACCGGCTGGCACTGAAGAACATTGCGAGCATGGTGCGGTCTGGGGGCCTGCTAGTCATCGACCACAGAAACTATGACCACATCCTCAGCACAGGCTGTGCACCACCAGGGAAGAACATCTACTATAAGGTGGGGCTCACTGAGGGAGGAAGGCTTAAAGTGGGAGATGGGGCCAAGGGCCCCACAGTGGGTCGCAAAAGTTAATGCTGCCTGCGCTATGACCTGCAGAGTGACCTGACCAAGAACATCACAACGTCGGTGCTGACAGTGAACAACAAACCCCACATGGTGACCCTGGACTACACGGTGCAGGTGCCGGGGGCTGGCCAGGATGGTTCTCCTGGCATGAGGTACCCACATGGCTAGGCAGGGGCAGAGAGGGAAGGGAGCTGGGCCACTCGCCCTCATGGTCTCCTGGGGCTCTATTGCAGTAAGTTCCGGCTCTCCTACTATCCGCACTGCCTGGCATCCTTCACAGAGTTGCTCCGAGCAGCCTTCGGGGGCAAGTGCCAGCACAGCGTTCTGGGTGACTTCAAGCCTTACAAGCCCAGCCAGGCCTACATTCCCTGCTACTTCATCCACGTGCTCAAGAGGACAGACTGAATGCAGCCACAGCTTCCACACTCAGCCCCTGCACTGCCAGGCTACCTGGGGATGTAGGCACCACCAGCAGTGCAGATACGGGGGTGTGTGGCTATGGGGGGTCAACTGGAGGTAGGAATAAGGAGCAGGGATTTGGGTTCAGGCAAATAGAAGGGCCAACAATAGAGTCTGTGCCTTTTTCAGTTCTGTAATTCCTTGTGTTTATGTCAGAAAGATCAGGCTCCTGTGGTACCCCACCACTTGGCTCTGGGCCTTGTCAATCTTTCATCAAATAAAACCAGCAGAGGGCAGCATACACTTTATTTTCAGCCACAGATGGGGCCAATTCCTGTAACCAGAGGCCCTGGCCCCTCCTTCTGAACAGATGAACCTAGTCTTGGAGCTGGCCTGGGAGCAGGGATAGGTAGACAGGGCATGTCTCTTGAGCTCTGGCTCAAGAGAGCTAGGACATTACACACCACTCTGTCCCTAGGGGTATCTCCTGGAAGTAGGCAGCTTTCAGGTGGATGGGCAGCAGCTGCAGGAAGAGCCCCTTCCTTCCTCTTAGGTCTCTGTTGGGATACTGAGGCACCTTTAGCCATTGTGGGTGGGATTCCAGGCTGCAGGAGGCTCCTAGCAGGCGGCAAACTTGCGCTGGATGCGCTTGTACCGAAGCAGTTCCTGCTCACTGATAGAGGGCTGCAGCCTTGTGGCGGCCTGCATCAGATCCTCCATGGTGAGCAGCAGGGCTGGGCTCCCTGGCTCCAACCCTGGGAAGTGACAAGAGCAAGTCAAGGCCAGGGAATAGCTGAGGACTAGAGGCTGTGGTCTACGCCCAGGCAGGGAGAGTCCTGGGGGAGGCACTTTCCTGTCCAGAGTCCTCTGGATTTCAATAGTCCCTCCAATTAAATCCAGAACCAGACCTTGCCCTGCACCAGCTTTTTGACTTCTGGGGCTGCTGAGTGGCTCACCTTCCTCCAGGTCCCGAACCCTGCGTTTGAGGGCAGTTGTCATGGCGTCAGAGCAGAGGGAATAGAGGTCAGCGCCTGTCAGCTGGGGAGGGCAGCGATCCAGCACATCCACCAGGCTCACAGAGGGCTCCAGCTTGAATCTGTGGGGGGAGCCAGGAAAGAAACCACTGTAACTGGCAGCACCTACACCCTCAAAAGCCCTTGCTGACCAGCTGGTCCACCCCAAGGCCCAAGCCCTTCGGGATTCTTCCTTTGACAAGGCATACTTGCGTGTGATGGCACTCAGAACCCGCAGCTGGGAGGCCCGGTCCTCGCTCACCCCCACAAACACCAGCTTGTCAAATCTTTAGGGAGATATACAGGGAAGGTCAAGTTCTTCCTCTCCAAGGAGGCTTGCTGGCATCAGCACCAGGGATCCCAGCCATGAGGGGTAGAGAAGGCACAGAATGGGGGTTGAGGGATAGACTCAAATGGGATTGGCCTGGTGGAGGTGAGAGGTATGAGGTGGCCACCTGCCAGGCCGCAGCAGAGCAGGGTCCAGGAGGTCTGGCCTGTTGGTAGCTCCAATCACAAACACATCCTGAGTGCTGTGAAGCCCATCCAATTCAGCCAGGAGCTGAGACACCACCCTGGAAAGGATGAAGAGAAGGCTGGAGAGTCCCAGGTCCATCCTCAGCCCTATCTCTGCCTGTGTGCCTCTCCTTGCCACACTTCTCAACAGGGCTTTCTATTCAGTCATGCTCTGTGTATCCCTCTATGCAGGCTCCCATTCTCCCCAATGTCCCACCCCTGCCTCCACTGTACTATCTAAGAACTGAAAGGGCAAGAACTTCTATCTCTGGGCCGTGATCTAGAGTGGGCTGTGACATGCCTCTCATCCCTCCCATCCTAGACCCCATACTCCTCCTGCCCAGCCCCACCTGTCCATCACTCCTCCAGAGTCTCCACTTCGCCCCCGGCTTGGGGCCAAGGAGTCCAGTTCATCAAAAAAGATAATGCATGGAGCCGCGGCCCTGGCCCTAGCAAACACTGGCGGGAGAGAAAGGGTTCGTGGGAGGGGGAAGTTCAGGGAGTGGTTTGAAGCCAGGGCAGAGGTGGAAAGGAAACCAAGGTTTGACCATTCATCACCAACACTCCTGGCACTAGACCTCTCTGGGTAGGAACCTGGCTTGTGGAAAGGAATACCAGAAACAACCATGGGGTGGGGGAGGCAACCCAGGGACTACCAGGGCTTGAGAAGGTCAGGAACCCCTGCCCCTCCCTGCTTGCTCACCTTCCCGAACATTCTCTTCACTCTGGCCCACGTACATGTTGATGAGCTCTGGTCCTTTCACGCTGAGAGGAGGCGAGAGATGAGAAGTGAGACTCGCCAGATGCACACACACACACACAGTCACCTTTCTCAGTGCATCTCTGCAGCCTGCTGCAGCCCCTAACCACCCACCATCTCTTCCAGGCCCCTGGCCACCTGAGGAAGGTAAGGCTGCACTCAGTGGCTACAGCCTTGGCCAGGAGGGTCTTGCCAGTGCCAGGGGGCCCATGGAGCAGGAGGCCCGAGCGCCTAAGGCCCAAGCTTAGCAATTCGGGGTGCTCCAGAGGGAGCTGGATCGTTTCCAGAATCTCCTTTTTCACCTCCTGCAGCCCGCCCACATCCTGCCAGGACACGGAGGGGATCTAGGAGACAGAGGGTGTGTGGTTGGGGAAATTCTGGTGTAGGGAGCTCCTGCCCCACCTCCAAGGAGCTGGAGTCTCTACCTTGGGGGCTCCAACGGCTTGGGAATGCGCTGCCTGCAGCTGCTCCAGGGCCTGCCCAAAGTCCTCTGCCAGGAGGGGGAAGCCAGCTGCACACAGCTCCCCCTCATCCTCCTCGCTCCAGCTGCCTGCCGAACTGCAGAGAGAAGCACAGGCGGGAGGCCTCTAAGAGACTTCACTTAAGGCCTCCTCCCTGCCAGCGGCCTGTTCCTCACCAGCCCCCAGCTCATATTTCTTCTTGCCTCTTTCCCCTTCCTGTGCCCGTTTCCTCACCCTGAGTTCTTGATCCGGGCACAGGCTGCACGGCTGCTATGGGTCAGAAGGGCATACAGATCCCCCACCACAAAGCCCTAGGGAACCAGAGGAAAGGATAGATGAGCAGGGTACAGCAGGTTGAAACCCTTGGGGGATGTGGAAGGTGGTCCCCCCACCAGCAGCAGAGGCCCATTGCAGATGCAGTGGGGTATTCACTTGCAGGGCAGCCGGACCAAGTTCCTGGGACAGAGTAGAGGAAGGCCCAGCACCCTGGCTGGTACTCACAGCACACCGCCGTGCCAGCTGGACCAGGTTCACCTCTTGGCCCAGGGGGAGGTGGGCAGTGAGAGCCTGCAGGATGCTGAGCCGCTGCCCCTCTGACAGTGCCGGCACCTCGAGCTCATGAGGGAATGCTGTCTGTACATCGGCAGGCAGGTCCCGGGCCCGGCTCGTGGTGGCCACAACCATCAGGGGAGGACAGCTGCACAGAAGGAAGTGGGCACTGAAGGTGAGACCGTGGCTGAGCTCCTGAGACTGATACAGAAGGCAGGGGAGGGGAGGTGGGTGCCGGGATGGGACAGAGCTGAGCACCCCAAAGGTTCTCGGATAAGGATCTGTGGGAATACCTTGAGAAAGGAACCTGTCTTTCCCCTCACATGAGGGGCTCACTGAGGTTTTTCTTCAAGCTAGTGTTCTCAAGAGTGGGACCACCACCTCCTCCTCCCTCTGGAAACCCTAAGGCTTTCAGCTCAGGGCTGCTAGAGGGCTGAAAGGCTGAAGAGGAGAGCTGGGTTTCGCCCTGCTAACAGGCCCAGCTCTGTATAAATACCTGGTGAGAGGGTCCTCATCAAGGAGGAGGTGACGCAGTGTGGCCACCACACGGGTGTCCTCACCCAGCTCCTCACGGTCCCAGCCCAGAAGGTCCACAGCTGTCAGCAGCAGGACTGCGGGTCGACAGCGTCGGGCCCGGGAGAAGGTGGCCTGCAGTTTGGTCTCCACAGCCCCGCTGCTGTCTGCACAGAGGCTGGAGCAGGGCACCTGGGAGGGGAGCCCGATGGGCCTGTGAGCATGTGAACAAGGGGCAGGCGTGACTGGGGTGGGGATTGAGAATTGAGTCAGAAGTGCAGGCCGTTTTTTTTTGGGGGGGGGGTGTGGTGGCAAGGATTAAGGGAGAATGTAACTCTGGCCAAGTCCCACCTCTCCCTTACCCATTCCCTAGTGCTATTCCCTGGATGCCTAAACTGTCACCTAAATTTTTGAAACCCCCTCCCTCTTTAAAGCACCTCTCAGTAGCTGAGCATCATGGGAACATGTCTGACCCACTCGGCTGAGGTGTTATTGTCCTGCTAGTAGGTCAAGAGAGAGATACAGTCAGACTACATCTGAGAGGGGAAGTACTTGGCTCCACTCTCCAGGTGCACCCACCTTCACTAAGTGGAGTCCGAGGCGGTTGCAGGCAGCAGCAACTGCTGTGGTTTTCCCACTGCCTGGGGGGCCCCGTAGAAGAACACTGCTAGTTCCTGCCAGCAGGGCACCCCTGTAACCAGAGAAACACTTGTCTCCTCCACCAGCCCAAACTTCAGCATCCCCAGTAACACAAGGACCCCTGGATTCAGAAGCAGACTCATGGTTTCTCACTCCCGAGGCACACCCTGTCCCACCAGGATTGTTTCTGTGTGGTGAGGCTGTATTCCCACACTACCTATGGAGCTCCGGCAGGGGCCTTGGAACATACCCAGCAGCCAGGGCCTAGTCCCCTTGTGCTTTCAGGGAAGCCTTGACTATTAGGTCTGGTCTCCACTGTACTAAGAGGAATTAGGGGGAGAGTCTGTACCTACCCTTGAGCCAATGATTTGGAGAGCCTGAGAATTTGTTGACAGAAAAGTCATGGATTGGTGGTTTGGGCATTCTGGTTTGCGGGGGGCCTCCCTATCCCACTCTGGCCAGGAGCACTGGGAACTACTATCTGGTCTGTGGTTGTACCTCCAGAGACATTGAGTGAGACTTTCCTTATCCTGGGGCTGCAGCCTCACTCACCCTGGCTGGAGGCGAGGCTTCAGTGCCGCACAGAGCTCACACACCAAGGCCTCCAGGCCTGGGGGTGACAAGCTGCTCCAGAGAGTATGTTCCTGTGAAGGCATCCCTGGAACAGGGCTCAGGGTAACACCCACCTGTGAAAGGTGGGAGGAAGCTTTCAGTTGATGCTTCTACCCTTTCTCCAGGTTTATTCCTATCCCCAGGGCCTCACCATGTACAAGGAGGTATGGGTAGTGTCAGCCAAGTAGGCACTGGCTGGCTCTTCTGGGGCTTCTCCAACTGTTTTCTTCACCTTAAAAAACATATCCCGCCACCTACAGGAAAGAGGCCCAATGAATCCCATGTCCAGGGCCCACATACCCCCTTCCTGAGGATAAGTTAGCTGTTTTGAATCATAGAGGTCCTATTTTGAGGACAAACTCAAGAGCACCACAAATAAATGCCCCCAAGAAATGGCTGGATCATACACATGTTGAGGGCAGGGGCTATGCTTGGCCCTCTGCATCCTCCATGGGTATCATCAGAATTTGTTGTGTGTGTGTGTGTGGGGGGGGTTTCCAGACAAATGGTCACTCCCTGGCTCTCATGGGAAAAGCCACTGCTGCACTAAGTAATGTATCAATTGATCATTTCCACTGGCCGCAGAAGAATCTCTCCCTCAATCACATATCTACCAAGGTCCCTAAAACCTCAGGAAGAGGAGTTCCCTGACTTTTACTTGATAATCCATAGATTCTAAATTACAGGCAGATTCCTTAATGACAGCTAGTGATTGATGTTTCTCTATCCGGGCTGTACACTAGTATTACTGTGAAGCTGTAAAAAAAAAAAAAAAAAAATTTCTCTTATACTGTAGGATTTATTTATATGAAATATCTAGTAGAGGCAAAACCATAGACAGAAAATAGATTAGTGGTTGGTTGCCAGGGACTATGGGAAGATGAGGTGGATGGGGGAAATAGGGAGTAGCGGCTGATGGGTACAGAGTTTCTTTCTAGGGTGATGAAAATGTTCTGGTATTAGATGGTGGTGTGGTTGTACAACACTGTGAATTACTAAAACCCACCGAACTGTACACTTTTAAAGGGTGAATTTCATGGTATATGGATTATACCTCAATTTTAACAAAGAAACCTTTCTCCCTCCTTGGGAAAATATAAAGACCCCATAGACCTGCCTCACCAGGACCGGGTAGGGCTCAGGTGTCTGTATTTTTTGAAGCTCTCTCTGGGACTGTGATGCATAGCCAGGGCTGTGCACTCACTAACATCATAGGAAGCTGTGTATTCAACTTACTACCTGGGGAGAGGGTGGGTAGCAGGTTGAAGCTACTAGCCCAAATTTCCAGATAGAGAAATGATGAACTGCTACCCTCTTTAGTCCTCAAGCTGCAAGGCAATGACAGAGCCAGATTATAACCTGGGCCTCTTCAAGCTCCTTTGCCCACACTGTCCCATAGTTTCAAAGCTGCTCCTCTGGCAGCAAAGGTGGGCGGCAGTGACCCAAGGTGGAGGGGGAGGCGCACCAGGTTATTATTGTAAAACTCGTAGCTGTTACCATTGGCAGAGATAAGAGTAAAAACTAGAATAAGGAAAAACAGATCCTACTGTTATAAGTATTGTAACATTTATTATAAATAAAAGGTGGGTGTGTCTACAACCTAGAATCCCAATCAGGCCAACAGCTTGAATCAGAGTGAGTGATGCAAGCCCTGGAAGCCCTGTGCAAGAATCTTGGGCTAAGGCCCAAGCTCCTGCAGGCTGATCCCACTTCATTTGAGACCTCCTAGAAAGCTGAGTTTTGACTTGATGGCACATAACAACAACAACAGAAAGCTGAGTTAGTGCCTATCAGTTGTGTCCTCTTAGTAAATCGCTACGGGAAGTAAGTCTGGAAGAGAGGGACTGGTTATGATATAGGATCACATTTTCCCCCTTCGCACAAGGCCAAAGCAGCCTCTTAATTCTTTGCTTCACCGGGATTTATGGAACCTTTGTGGTCAGAGTAAACAGCTGACCTTGTTTTGGGTTCCTGTCTCAGTTATCCCCTATTTCCCATTTTCTGCTGAGGATTAGGAAAAAGAGGCGGCTTTTCAAGGGCAACAGCAATCTCTGTGCTATCTTTTGGAAAACAGGACTGGGAAGCAGCATGTGTTCACTCCATCAATTACAGAATTCTGAACCCAGGTCTCCTTACGTTGAGTATATGGGAGAAACATCTGAGCCCTGGCCCAAAAACTGTGGTTGAGAACCGGAAGGAAAGAGTCACATCTTGATCTAGGTCATTAAATTATTCTTTATGCTTTCCTTTACCTAGGCACACCATACAACAATCAACTTGTGGATAAACACTTCCCAAAGTCAGCAGTGTGGTTCTTCACCCTCTTTTTAGTCACATACTTGTTTGAGAATCTAAAGAAGGTATGGACCTTCTCTCCAGAAAAACGTATGTAACAACAAAACAAGCTCTTATGCTTAAGATTATTATATACAATTTGGGGGAGGTGCAGAACTCCTGCACCCAGGTTAAGGACCCCAGTGGTAGGAGAGGAGGCAGCTGCATACCTGGGCAGTTTCTCTGGGCTTCCTTCCAGGATCTCTACTTGCCCAATTGTTGGCACACACAGAACATCCCCTTCCTGGACTACCCTGCAACACAGCAGCAGCCATGTCAGCTCCCACCAGCCATCACGAGCATGTGCCTGGCACAATCCCTCCACGCCCAGCCCCCCATGCAGACTACTTCTTAGGAGCCTCCTGCCCACCCAGAAATCCAGAGCAGTACTGCAGAGAACAAGTCAGACCTAGAATGAACTGGAGGAAATAGTGAAGAGGCCAGAAAGGGGGATCAGAGAGAGACCAGAATCTGATCTGGCGAAGAGGGGCAGAGAAGAATCCTGGCTATTTTAGGATCCACACAGATCCAGGAGGTTTCTCAGTTTAGAATGTCCAATTTCACCTCATGGTCCAGATTTCTATTATCTGCCTGACACAGGAAGAGGCTCCTACCCACAGTATTTCCTAAAATGTGGCTTCTTTTCATCAGAAGTTCTGCGGTACTTGGATCTAAGGCGTGGGATAGGAGAGTGATGAGGGTGGGACACCATCCTTCTAAAAGGGGTAGGCTGCTAACCTGGGTATCTGAAAGTGCCGATAAAGAATGTGGTCATAATTTCCATTAGTGCTGTAGTGGGGAGATGACACGATTTCAATGTGTAACTCTCTGGCAAACGGAGGCCCAGGAAGCACTGAGCAGCTTCCTCTGTCTTCAGAAGCACTGGAGCTGTCCAAGTATCTCTAGTAGAGAAACAACCACTGCCTTATAACCTTTTCCCAAATCGTCAGCAATGTATCTACTTGTATCCTCTCACCTTCATATAATCATAACTCTGAGGTAGCAAGAGTTGAACACATATATATCCCTGGATTGCTTTCCTCTCAAACAGATACCTTCCCTCCAATGAGCATCAGGAAGAGATGTCACCTCATTTGGCTTTGAAAAGTTTCAGAGCCAAATTTCTGGCTCTGAAAAGTTCCCCAGTAAAGATAAGCCTTCTGTGAGTACCTTTAAGTTGGCCCGAGCCAGTGAATTAGTAGAAACATTTAATTGCCACAAGGCTTTTGAGTGACACCAGGAAGCCACTGGAATTGATATTAAGTAGACATTATCTGAATTCAGGTTATGGGAAGGACATGATTTTACTGAAGCTCAATGGGTTGGTTTAGCAGAATGACCTCCAGTCTGAGTACTCCAGAAGTTTTTCCACTGCTCAGAAGGTAACTCACATCCACTCCTCCTCATGTACATCTTACATCTCTTCCCGACATCCCACATCATTAGTCTGCCATACCACCATTGTCCAACAGAACTTGCTGCAATGATGTGAATGTTATGTATCTTCATGTGGGTATTGAGCACTTGGAATGTGACTGGAACAACCAAAGAAGTGAATTTTAAATTTTATTTAGTTTTAATTAATTTAAATTTCTGTAGCCACAAAGGGGCTAGTGGCTGCCATATGGACAGTGCAGGTCTAAACCAGACATATGGGTCTACATTAGACTAAATTTGACTAAGTTATTTCACTGCATTAGACTAAATTTGTTGCTGCAGATACAATTATCTTCTTAAAGTAAGCTCCTTAAAGGCAGAAACCAAAAATTTATCTTTTCTGTATTAAACATTAAATACCAGGCACCAAAGATAATAACCCCCTTTTTTTTTTTTGATCCAAGGAATTTACAATATATAATGGGGGGGGATTAGCCAGATTATATAACAAGGCAGAATAAAATAAATGCCCTAAGGTACAAAATGCCATAGAAGAAGAAACCATATAAATGTTGTGGTGAGGAGATTATGAAAGGCTTTGTGAAGAAGGTGACATAAATTTTAGATGGGCCTTGAAGAAAGGATGTTACGATTTTAACAGATTATGCTAGAAGAATAGGAAGGAATTTGAAGCCAAGGAGAAACACAAGCAAATCATCTCATCTTACCATCTTCTGTACTAGACTCAGCATACTACTAGAAGCTCTGGTGGTGTAGCACCTAAGGCATTTGACTGCTAACCAGAAGACTGGAGGTTCAAACCCACCAGCTGCTCCTTGAAAGGAACATTGGGCAATCTACTTCCATAGAGATACCTACCACCTTGGAAACCCAAGGAGGGGCCGCTGTGAGTTGGATTCGACTAGACTGGATGGTTGTTAATGGGTGGCATAGAGTCAATTCTGACTCACAGCTACTCCATGTGACAGAGCATAACTGCCCCATAGGGTTTTCTAAGTTGTCATCTTTATGGGAGCAAATTGCCAGGTCTTTTTTCCAAGGAGCTGCTGAGTGAGTCTGAACTGCCAACTTTTTGGTTAAGCAGCCAAGTGCTTAACCGCTGTGCCACCAGGGGTTATTAATATTGGGTACATTGTAGCAATTTGAGTAGAAGATTAACATTCACACCTGGCAATTTGATTGTGAATCTCACTTTTCACCTGAATAGATGAAAGCCCTTCCCATATAAGGAAAAGGAAGACAGAAAGGCACACGAGAGATACAGATAACAAAGATAAAACACTTTTACCCATAAAATACTGCATTATCAGTGATAACAAACATTAATCTATGGTAGACAGGTTGAATGACCAGGTATATCTAGGCATTTGGGAATATACCCAAGACCATATATAAAGTTGGCAGACAGTATATCTACATATGTGTTTGTAAGTGCTATAATAATATCCATCTAAATAGAACTAAGAGGTTAAGTTATGATAACTTTGTAGGCACAGTCAACCACCCCAATGGAGCGAGTTGCTGGACATGTGAGCTCAGGATTATGGTCACAGGGCCATCAAGCTCAACTGGCATAACATACTACACAACAACATTGTTCCACATCCTGCTTTGGTGAGTAGAAAACGGGGTCTTAAAAGCTTGCAAGTAGCCATCTAGATGCAACAATCGGTTCTCCTCATCCAGAGCAAAGAATGAAGAAAACCAAAGACACATGGAAACAATTAGTCCAAAGGACTAGTGGACTATACTACCTTCAGCCTATATGACCGTGAGACCAGAACTAGATGGTGCCTGGCTACAACTATCAACCACTCAGAAAGGGATCAGTGCAGGAGATCCTGGATAGAGAGAACAATGTGGAACAAAACTCAAAATCATAAAAATAAAGACCACATTAGTGGTCTGACAGAGCCTGGTGAGACCCTAGAGACTATATGTAGTCCCTAGTTACCCTTCAGGTCTGGAATTGAATTCGCTCCCATGGCTTCCAGCCAAACAAGAGATATCATATAAGAGTGAACGTTTACATTAGGTACATACATTCCTTAAAATGATCAGTTATGGGAGAACAGAAAAGCAGTATTTGCACAGCGAGATAGTTCAGGGGGCAGAAAAGCATAGGAAAGAAGGACACAGGGAAGAGGTAACTGCAGGGAGGAAGTGGGAAGAGAACTGTTTCATTGTGGGGAATTGCAGTCAATGTCATGCAACAAAATGTGTATTAACTCCAGTATGGAAAATGAATTTAAAACTTTCACCTAAATCACAAATAAAAAGAAAATAAAGCTCTTCCAATGCACCACCACATTATGGAGTTTTATATTGATTATAAAGAATAAATATGTCTACAAGACATTAAGTGAAAAGTCCAAGATTTTAAGGTATGAAAGGCCTAAATTCTATTGTCTTTCAATTAAGGCCTAGAAAAGCAGATGAGGAGTAAGTAACATTCCTGGCCTTGGTGCTGTATCCTACCTGAATTCTGAGCTCTCCCACTTCCAGAGGGTCACAGCCGAGATTAAAAGCTAGTGTGGCAGGCACGAGAGCCAGTCCATCAGCGAGGGGCTCTCCCAGCTGCCCAGACCCGGGTCCCAGCCTCTCAGAGAGATCCCAGCGAGGCTCCAGGACCTGCACCGTGGCCAAGTGCGGCTTGGCGTTCGATGACTCTCCGATCCGGGCCACCCACACCCATTCGCCCTGGAAGAGGCCGAGGCCCCGGAGACATCTCTTGCTCACCCCCAGTGAGTCTCCAGTCCCTCCCAGAACTCCCCGGAGTAGCCGGACTGCACCCAAAGCCGCGAAGGAGGACACTACGGGCGGGGGTGGGGGCTGGCTGCTGTCTCCAGTATCCAGGCCCAGTCTGGCTCGCCCGCGGAGCTCCGTCACAGCCAGCCGCGTACCCGGGCCCAGCAGCCCTTGCAAAGCCGGCCGCGTCTCCAGCACCCGCGGCCCAGGGACTGGCAAAGCCTCTCCGCGCCTCACTAGCAGCGGCCCGACCCGCTGTCCGAGCCCGGGCCCCGGCGAGGTGCCAAGCAGCGCCCAGCCTAGCGCCGGGGGCCGCCGCACCGGCCGCGCCCGCACCCATGCCCCAGAGTCCAGCGCAAGGAGTCGCAGCAGCGCTCGGCTAACAAGCAGCTGCGGGGGCCCAAGGCCTTTCTCTTCGGTCCCTGCACCCGGCCCCTCCAGGGCCGCCACTAGCAACGCCGGCCCTGCGGGGCTCTCCCCTGCAGGCCTCAGGGCCAGCACCAGCCCCAGCCCCACCGCAGGCCACGGGCCCCCGGGCGGGAGTAGCACCGCCAGAGAAGGAGTCTCAGTGGGGAAGGGCTCCAGGACCCGCAGGACAGCCAGCGCCATGGTGAAAGGAGACCAAGGAAGCTGAGAGCGTTCGCCTTCCGTAGCCACCGAGGGGGGACTACCAAGCTGTTCCTGCTCTGTGTGTGTATAAAGCGTCGTTTCCGCTTCCGGCAGGGTGGCGTGAAGAAAGTGGGAGGGGTGTCGATTGCAGGGAGCACGCTCTGAGAGGAAGGAGCTGCGCTTTGGCTAGATCAGAATGGTGTCTCAATGGGAGTAATCACTGCGGTTGCGTAGAATTTACACATGCGCCCTCTGAGCCGGTGCTTACAGGCATCTTGTAAGGAAGAATGTTCTCCCAACTAGCATGTATTGAACGGTTTATTGACTAACCACTGAACAGCCAGCGTGCTCCGGAGCGGCTTAGCCCAGTGCTGGGAGCTGTGGATGGAATGTTTAGAAAACAATCTACCGCTCCCTCTGTGGAGCTGTAGGCACTGAGGTTTCGGGTTTTGGGAAAAGTGGCAGGAGGGAGTGGTAGGATTTTAAACTGTTTTAGAGGTGCTTATGGATATGTAGAGGCTGCTAACTGGATTGCTACATGTGATTCATGTAGCCCTGCTTGGTGCTGCCACACCTGTTCCAACACATCCTACACAAAGCCCACGTTCCAGCACTTCTTGCCCTGTTCATTGTCCTGTTCGTTCTACACCCACCAAACTGGGAGCGAAGACAAAGCAGTTGTTCTTCCATCTCCCCAAATGCAGTTGCTACCCTCTACCAATCCTTGAAAACTGGAGACCAATTTCCAGTTTCTACCCTAGAGGGAAGAGAGTGGAGGCTTCAGTTATAAGCACCTCAGACAACAACCTGCTTCCCACTTGTGCTGTTACTTAGATTTCATCTCTGTCTCCAGCCGCACGGCTCTGTGTACAGGACACTCACACACTGGTAGGCCACATGTTTCCAATTATTAATAACATATTTGCAGTCAGAATCAATGGGATTGTATGATTGTAAACTACTCTCTGGATCTTGCATTCTCTTCTACCTACTGCCCAACTCTCTCCTTTCCTTTACAACTGAGCATCTTCTATTATGCATTCCTGAAAATATTTTTGAAAGTCAAGTATCTGAGAGTTGAGTATTAGATTTACATGTTATAAAGGATTTCTATCCTCAAAGAAACAAAAAAATATTTTTGTCTGATTATAGTTCCTGGAAGTACCTTCAGTCCTAAACCTGAAATTGCCCAGCCACATTTCTTTAAATCAGTGTGTAAGAATGTATTAGGTACTTGGGCTCATGTGGATGAAAGTTCCCATTTTTTGGTAGTACTAAACTGTATGTGGCTCTGTCTCCTTCCTCCCAGAGGAATCAAGGAGTGGGAGGAGAGTGGATAGGCCCCAATAGGTTATATCTGCTCTATACAGCAGTAGGCAAGCTCTAGGATTCAGGACTATAGTGCTCCTTGGGGTATTGTTGTTGTTGTTAAGTGCCATCGAGTTGTCTCTGACTCATAGCGACCCTATGCACAGCAGAACGAAACACCCGCCCAGTCCTGAGCCAGCTCCACCATTCTTGCTACACTTAATGCCTTGGAGCATTAGAGAAAGGCAAATACATTTGGTATCCTTCCTGGAAGGTCCTTGGGTGGTGCAAACAGTTTGGACTGGTCTACTAATCTAAAGGTTGGCAATTTAAACCCACCCAGTGGGACCACAGAAGAAAGATCTGGTGATCTGCTTCCATAAACATTACAGCTAAGAAAAACTTATGGAACAGTTCTACTCTGTAACACATGGGGTCACCATGAATCAGAATTAACTTGACAATGTGTTTTATCCTGCCTGGTGTGGGAACCCATACAGACACGAATAACCAGTTGCTGCTGAGTGGAGTGACTCATGGCAACCCCACGTGTGTGAGAGTGGAACTGTGCTGCATAGGGTTTTCAATGGATGATTTCTCAGAAATGGTTCAGAAGGCTTTCTGAGGCATCTTTGGGTGGACTCGAACTTCCAGCCTTTGAAAGGAGCACATTAACTGTTGGCACCACTCAGGGATTCCACAGATACCAATACCCATCCACAAACAAATGTCATTTCCTTCCAGGATTTTCCCCTAGCAGATAATGGCTGTCATGCAGTTCACTTTGTGTTACTTTGAAATCATTATTCATCATTGAAAGCCAAATACAACTTCTATAAGATAGCCAGTAGGAGCTCTGGTAGGAAGGCACTTGACTGCTAACCGGAAGGCTGGCGGTTCAAACCCACCAGCCACTCCTTGGAAGGAAGGTTGGGAGATCTACTTCAGTAGTGATACCACCTCAGAAACCCAAGGAGGGGTCACTATGAGTTGGGTCTGAATCGATGGCACATAACAACAACAACAACAAGATAGCCAGTAGTCTAAATTTGGTATCTTTACTTCCTTACTTCTTGCTCACTCCTCATCCTACTGTAACTTTCTTTCCACTCCTGAGACTTCCTTGGCAAAGATCACTAGTAACTTCTTAATTACAGAATCCATGGAGGCTGTTCAATCTTTATCTTACTTGACCTTTGTCTGGAATCTGACATTATTGAACTATCCTGCTTTCCTGACATATTTTACTTCCCTTGCCCTGACGCCAATTTCTTCCTATGTCTATAACTCCTCCCTTTCCCCTACTCCTCCCCTCACAATTCAATGAATCACTAAGTCTTGTGGATTCCACACATTTCCCAATTCCATCCACTCTTCTTCATTCCCATGGCCCCTGCTTTATTACCTTGGGCAAGGACGTCAGGCTTATTCCTAATGAGACTTCTCCAGTTTTTTCATGTAGCCAATTTGCTTCTGTGGTTGCCTTTCTGAAACATACTCCTCCATGTAGTCCCTCTGTTTTCCATTGCTATCAAGTTGATTCCAACTATAGGCCAAATTAATACTGCTTCATAGGGTTTCTGAGGCTGTAATCCTTACAAAAGCAGACTGTCAAATCTTTCTCTCATGGAGCAACTGGTAGGTTCAAACTGCTGACCTTTCAGTTAGCAGACAAGTGCTTAACCTCTCTGCCATCAGAGCCCTTTATATGGTCTCTAGGTTTGTGTGATTTATCACATTGTATCTTAACCATCTCAAGTCCCTGTGTGGTGCAAGCAGTTTGCAATCAGCTGCTAACAGGCAGTTCAAACCAATCCAGTATTGCTGCAGAAGAAAGGCCTGGTGATCTGTAAAGATTATTATTAGGTGCCATAGTTGATTTTCAACATATAGCACCCCCTTGTGACAGAGTGGAATTGCCTTACATGGTTTTCTAGGCTATAATCTGTACAGAAGCAAATTGCTACAGCTCTTTCTTCAGTGGAGTGGCTGCGTGGGTTCTAACCTTCAAACTTTTGGTTAATAGCCAAGCATTTAACCTGTTGCACCATCAGGGCTTCTTTGCAGCCAAGGAAACCCTATGGAGCACAGTTCTACTCTGACACACATGGGGATCTACTGGATGGCAACTGGTTTTGCTTTGGATCTTAATTATTTGTTTATACAAGTCTATGCACTTCATGAGTCTCTGAACTCATTGAGGGCAGGAACTGAGTCTTATCCATTAGGAATTGGCTTGGGCGGGGTGGGGAGAGAGGATGGATTTCCTTGAAGCACTCGATAATAAGGTTACTTTTCCACTGCTTTGCCAACTGCTCAAGTCTAGCAGTTGTTTCCCAATCTCAGGACACTTCCAGTAGGAACAGGACCTTCTCAAAGTTGCAACAAAGCCAGGAGCGTCAGTCAGACATCAGAACCTGAGAAACCCACATCCAGGTTCTACCAGATTTCCACGTTTGCTCCTCTGCAAGCCCAGTCTATGGATGAGAATGTCCTCGAGGGCTCTTGGGAGCTTTTTCTATCAATTTCGCGCCTGCAGTTTGTGCTATGTTGCCCTGATAAAGAAAAGTGTCCTTCATGTTGGGGCTTTTTTCCTTCAATTCAGGAGCTCTAGTGGCACAGCAGTTAAAGCGCTTGACTGCTAACCAGAAGGTCGGAGGTTCAAAATCACCAAGCCACTCCGTGGCAGAAAGATGTGGCAATCTGCTTTCCGTAAAGATTTACAGCCTTGGAAACCCTAGGGTGCAGTTTTACTCAGTCGTATAGGGTCGCAAGGAGTAGAAATCACTCCACGGCAACGGTTTTGGTTTTTAGTTTCCCTTCATTTTGGACTAGGCAGGGTAGCACAGTGAGGAAAGAGGGCCACTTTAGAAAAGAAGGAATTGAGAACTCCAAGAACTGGGAAAAACGACCGAGACCAGTGCACGTAGGAGCGCACCACTCCGAGTCGAGCCTGGGTTTCCCGTTGCCCCCGCCTTCTTCACTAAGCTCTACCCACTTTAGGGCGGGACCTCCCACTTCAGCCAATTCTGGGAGCTGAACCCTGGCGGTTTGTACTCCTTCTTTCCAATGAGAAAAAAAGGAAGCAGCTTGGCTCCAATGACCAATCCGAGGAGGCGGCACCGGGTTGTCAGGCAGGTTATAAGAGTTCGGGCCAATTGGAGGCGCAGACACCCCTCGACCCGGGCGCAGCGCGCAGGCGGAGGCAAAAAGACGCCGGAGCGGGCCGAGTGCGGCCGAGCAAAGCCGGAGCCCGAACGGGACCGCAGGAGCCGGGCCGGGTCCGACGGGCCGAGATGCCCTATAAACTGAAGAAGGAGAAGGTGAGCGTGGCCCTTTCCCCCGCGCCTCCGCCCTGGGGCCTGTGCGGAGCTCTGGGAGGGGCCCGAGGCAGGCCCGGGACAGCCCCAGACTGACCCTCCCGTCTGGCTCTCGCAGGACTCTCTGGGCTAGCTCACCGCCCCCGTGGAGGGTAGCACCCCCAGCCTGTGCCGCAGCTGGGACAGCCCCCCCGCCCGCCTTCTTGCCCGGGACGGATTGCCCCCACATTACGCCTCCCTCTTTCTCCCTCGCCTACCCCTGGCCTAGGGTAACCTCCTCCCTCCAGATCTACCTACTCCACTCCCAGGTCACTCTCCTGCTTCCCTCGCTCCTGGTGTTTCCCCCAACACCACCCGCCCCTTCCTCTCTACCCCTCAACCCATTTGGGACAGCTTCTCTTCTGAGACAGCACCTCCCTCCAGAACTGCCCCCTCCCTCCTACGCAGCCCCTTCCCTCCTCTTCTCATCCTCCAGGAACCGCCTTCTCTCCCATTCTCTACAACCCTTTCTCTGTAGGCACGCCCAGCCCCCTGACCTAGGACTGTGCTGCTTTCTCTCTCCTTCACCCAAATCTGGACTAGGCCCCTCCCTCCAGTTCTTCCTTCACACACAAACTTGTATGCCAGGACGGAGCCCTGCCTTCTGTTGATGGAACCTCGGAACGTCAGGGCAGGAAGGGACCTCTGAACGCATGCAGTCCAACCCCCTAGTGGTACAGTTGAAGAGAGTGAGGCCCAGGTAGGGCAAGAGACTTGTCCAAGGTCACACAGCCTTCTGGAGGCAGAGCTGCAGTAGCAGGCCTCTTTTGTACCAAAGCTGGGAAGGCTGACAGGCATCATCACCTGGCTCCCAGGTTCATGCTAGATCAGTCCCCTTCCCTAATCTGAGCAGCCTCCTCCCCTTATTCCTACTCTTAGGATAACCTTTTTAGTTCTTGCACTAGTGCTTGATTTCTGTCTTTCTGGGGCACACAATCCTCAAATTAGGAATCTGCCCTCACTGTCAAATTAGTTTTCTTTCACCTTGGTTACCCATGCCTTTGTCATGGTATCCTGACATAAGCCGTGTCTTGATGTTGCCTTCTTTCACCTTCCCAGTCTATCTGCATACCACCTTCCCCTGTTCATCATCCCTGCTTTTTCTACTCTCTCATTCCTGCTGTTGCTGAGGTCTGACTCAGAGGTGTGGCTCCTTTGAGGTACAGACTCACACAGAGGATGCTAGGATACCAGTTCCAGCCTCCCCCAGCTTCTCCTCTTCTGGAGCTGGCCCCTCATGGTGCAGGCTGGCTCTGACCTGGAGTTCTGGCTACCCACTTCGTGACCCCAGAGGTGTACTGCTTTCACTAGCCCTCTGATTGGCTGGGTTGCAAGGCTGCCTTCTCTGACCTTATCAATTAAATTCTTTATCTTGGGGCTAGTGGAGATTTCCCGGGCACCTTTGATTCTGGGTTGTCCACATAACCTCTTAGGGCCTAAAGTCCTGAGTGTAGGGTTGTACACTTAGCTCAGTGGTGATGGTATACTGAGTAGTGAGCCTTTTGGGGTGCTGGCCTGGGCAGGCTTTTGTGCCCCACACAGGCCTTGTCCTGGGGGAGTAGATGTGCTGGGATGGTCTTGGCAGCTTAGTTATAGACGATGCACATCCACATCATACCGGAGACTAAGGGACTCCTTCAAGGAATGTGGCGAGGGGTGAGTTTCCCACCCATGTGTAGGTTTTAGTCTGATGGAACAGATACTGTCCCATCCACTGAAAGCTTTTTGTTACTAGATGATTGAGAAGGAGAACAATTCTTAATTAGATTTGTGAGGACTATAGGTATAAGTATCTGGTTGGGAAATGGTTTTGGGATCAGGGTGCATAGACCCAGGCATAATTCTGACTCCCTTTCATATTAAACTTTCTGTTGGTTTTTGGTTGCATTTGGTATTCAGGAGTTGGTAAGTCCTGAGGGGGAAGGAGGTGACAGTGTGACTGATGTTTGCCTGGATGGAGTAGGGGTGGAGAGTGGGTGGGTAGGTGGAAGATCTTCTTTGCTTGTCCCACCTTTCCCTTTTCTCCTTCATCTCTTCCGGTCCCAATCCTGGCCATCCTTTATGGACTCCCTGAAGCCTTGCCTGAACCTCAGTTGAGAAAGAGCTGTCCCATCTCTCCTGAATTTGCAGAACACTTTACAAAGTGCCATTGACAGCCCATTTGGATTCCACTTTGAATCAGAATTAATTGTGGACAAATCTTTTCTTCCCCCTTGAGATAAGAACCACCCTCTGCCTTGTACATAGCAGCTGTGGTGGCGTAGTGCCTAAGGCATTTGACTGCTAACCAGAAGGCTGGAGGTTCAAACCCACCAGTTGCTCCTTGGAAGGAAGGTTGGGCAATCTACTTCCAAAGTGATACCACCTCGGAAACCCAGGAGGGGTCGTCGTTATGAGTCGGATCTGACTCAATGGTAGTGAGTGAGTTTAGGCCTTGTACATAGTTCGTGCTCAGTAGATAAGTGCTGAGTGTACTCTCTGGCATCCATCCCTTCCCTTTCCACGTGTATTGACCCCCCTTACTCTCTTTTGGGTTCCTAGGTGGGGTGCCCTTGTTCCCTTTCACCTTCTTCTTGTTCAGAGTCATAGTAATAATAGTGATCAACATTTAGGATTTCATTTGCCAGACGCTGTGCTAAGAGAAGTGGGTGCTATGATTGTCATTGTTGAGTAGATAAGGAAACCGAGGCTCAAAGAGGCTAGTTAACTTGCCTGTAATTTTACAGCTAGTATGAGTTGGGCCTGGAAAACAAGGCTGACTTCAAAGCCCCCTTTTTTTTAACCATGTGCCATGTAGCACCTGACTGCTGGCTGGGCAAAAGTGTGTGCCCACTTATTCTTCAGGTGCCAGGGAACAAGGGTGATGGGCCTGGATTCCCCCATGACCAAGTACCCACATATATCCCCCAACACATACAAAGGCAGCTGGACACATTCCCTGAGGGTTATGCCTAAGGCATTATACTAAGTGCTATAGGGTTGGTAGATGGATGCAAAAAAGAATAAGGAGTTTATGGTCAAGTAGAGAGATCAGACGTGTACGAAGATGGGTCAAGTCTGTCCTGAGAGGCCCACGTGTAGGGGGTGCATAGAGTTATCTCAGTGACTTGTCCTGCTGCATCTACCGCTTCCTTTTCCTCTCTACCTCATACTCAGAGCCTCGCCCTAGCACCTTGACAACAGAGTCAGTGTGGCCAGTCTGGTCAGTAGGCAACGGGAGAGTGCTCAGCCCAAAGAAGGAACTCTTTCCTGCTCCTGTGACTGACTGCAGCGAGCAGAGCTGCTCTGCCTGGGAATGGCTTTCTTCCTCCCCGCCCCCAGAAAGCCTCCCCCCTTCTCCAGCCCACACAGAGCTCTCTTTTCCCTAAAATCCTTTTGGCCCCATAGTCAAAATCACTTGACTTATCACTTCTCGCTGAAGGGGCTTGCTGTCTAATTGCAGAACCTCAGAGCTGGAAGTGATTTCCAAGATCTTCTAATCCAGTCCTCATTTAAATCTTGAATCCCTTTTGCAGTATCCCTTAGAGGAGGTCACCCAGCCTCTGTTTGAAGGCTCCCAGGGCTAGGGAGCCCTCAGCCTCACAAGGCAACCTTTTTCTGTGTGCCTGCTTCATGAGAGAATTCTTCTATGTTTGGTGCCTCAGTCCATCTTCCTGGAACATCAACCCATTCCCCTTAGACCTCTAGATCTTTTTGGAAGAGTTGCATCTTTGCTCTGCATAGCAGCCCTTCGTTTGTTTGTAAAGTTCCATCTCACACCCCCTTACTCAAGACTCCTCCCTTCCATTGTCAACGATCCTGGGCTTGCAGCTGTTGCTTGCTGGACATGCTTTAGAATCCATTCCCAATATGAGTTGCATCCTTCTTCCCAGCAATGGTCATTGCTTCTCCCAAAGTCTGATCCTCATGAATAAACCAAATCCTACAGGAGTGGCCTCATCAAGGACAAAGGTACTTCCATGTCTCCAGTGTCAAGCACCAGGCACACAGTAGGCACTCTGTATAGGCCAGGGCACTGGATGAGGGGTCACATAAACTGCCATGGCAGCCATGGCATGTGGCCGGTTTGTGTTGAGCTTGCTGTCAGACCTCAATCCCCAAGTCTTTTCCACAATCTCTCCCTCTTGTTCTTGTGCAGTTGCTGTTTTTGGCCTGAAGCATGGGAAGCTGGGCAGGCTGGGGCTCTGAACCAGCTGCGTGGTTCCTGAAGGAGACTTCAGACCCATGCTTACTCTTGGTTTCACCTCAGGGCTTCACCCCATCTCATCCCAGTCCTTGTTGACCAAGGTGCTCTTGGGATTTTAAAAAAATCCACACTAAACCCATTGCCATCAAGTTGATTCTGACTCATAGTGACCCTATAAGACAGAATAGAACTGCCCCATAGAGTTTCCAAGCTGTAATCTTTACAGAAGGAGATTGTCACATCTTTTTTCCGAACACCAGCTGGTAGGTTCCAACGTCTGACCTTTTGTTAGCAGCCAAGCATTTAACAACTATGCTACCAGAGCGTTTAGATGGGACAATTCCTATACCTGGTAATATCCATGGGCCCAACTGTTAAATGCCATAGCACCATTTTGTCTGGGTGCTGTTTGTGACATAAAAAAAACAAAAAAGTCGTTGAATCTTCCTGTATGCATTGGGAGAAAAGTGGTGGCTTCCTCCCATCCAGCATGGAAGCCTCAGTCATTCCTCTGACTGGTTAACCAGAAGCCCATCTGAGTAGCTTGTTCCTTGATGCTTTTTCCTCAAGACACCTCATCTTGGCTCTTGTCTAACTGAAGGCCCTCCCAGGCGCTAATTCATGTGTACCCTTAATGTGTGTCAGGAGGGATGTCTTCGTAATCAAAGTCTAAATTCCTTGGAGGGACTGATTCTCCATATATATATACATACATACCCTCTCCCCTAGGGCCAGAGACAAGGTCAGTGATTGTAATTGATGGATTTGATTGGACAGA